TATAGGCATGATGACGAGTATCTATACGTTGGTGTCAAGCATGACCGTGAGTCTTAAATTGAAAGTGGTTGTGTCCTTAAACGACATTTCAGATGCTTTAATTAATGATCTTTTATATTGCGCAAAGAATTGTTCTATCCTCGTAGATCTTATTTATGTTTGAGCATTGTCATTATTTGGGCTGAGTACAAGCTAAGTTAAGATTGGTTATAGCTGATTCTCCCTTGCCGAGATGATTGTTTCGATATCTTTGTTCCCTTGCCGGGAAACTATTATATTGTTTTTGTTCCCTCGCCAGGAGGTTATTATATCGCTTATGTTCCCTTGCCGAGATTTCTTGTAATTGTGTGATGAAATGGGAGCGGGTGGTACGCCTTCCACAAGATATTATGAAATTGAAGAGGGTGGTATGCCTACCACAATATATTATGAAATGGGAGCGGGTGGTACGCCTACCACAAGATATTATGAAATGGAAGCGGGTGGTACGCCTACCATAAGATATAATGAAATGGTAGCGGGTGGTACGCCTACCACGAGATATAATGAAATGGGAGCGGGTGGTACGCCTACCACGAGATATGAGAAATGGGATCGGGTTGCACGCCTGCAACAAGATGAAACTGAAAGTGAAAGTTGCCTTTATTTTCTTCATTTGTGATAGAAGTTATATTGCTATCCTCCTTATTATTCCCTGTTATTTTCTTTTAACTGCTATCCCCGAAGCATGTTTTTCCCTTCCCCAGCTTTAACTGCTTATTACTTGTTTACTTTTCCGCCATATATTGTATGACTGCACAGGTTTATCTGGAGTCTAGTCCTAGCCTCGTCACTACATCGCCGGGGTTAGGCTAGACACTTACCAGCACATGGGGTCGGTTGTGCTGATACTACACTCTATGCTCTTTTGCACATATCTAAGTCTTGGACAGTAGCAGTAGCGTGGGAGCCAGCCTTCAGTCCAGTGAAACACCGAGGTAGCCTTGTAGACGTCCGCAGGACCGACATTTCCTCTATCTTTTATTTCAGTCTGTTATCTCATATATTCGAGACAAACAGTTTATATTTTCTTTCAAACGGTTGTATTTAGCACTCTTAGAAGTTCGTGAGTAATGTGACATCAGTTCTTGGGTAGAGGCACATGTTGATTCTCGCATTATTGTTTAGTCTTCTTTAATCTAAGACTTCAACATAATTATTTAATTCCGTTGCTTTCATGTTATCACTGATAATTTTTAAAAGAAGTAATTGTTAATGAAGTAAGCAGTTAAGGATTAGCTTGCCTAGCTCACATTAGTAGGCGCCATCACGACTCCCGAGGACGGGAAATCCGGGTCGTGACAAGTTGGTATCAGAGATCTAGGTTACATAGGTCTCACAACTCACGGACAAGCTCAGTAGAGTCTGAGGGATCGGTACGGAGACGTCTGTATTTATCCCCCAAAGGCTACAGAGATAGGAAAATCTCATATTTGTTCTTTCTTGTCGTGCGGATTTGTTCCTCAAATGCTAATTGAACTTCTACTATGTTCCTCGCAGAGGCCGAGAACATGCGCTTCCTTATCTACCGCTCAACAGCCCGAGCCCCCTGCAGCAACTCCCACTAGGGGCAGAAGGCGAGGCCGAGGCCGTGCTAAAGGCCGAGGTAGGGGCAGAGCTTAGCCCCGAGCAGCAGCACCAGTGGCGGAGCCTCAGGTTAATTTCGAGGAGGAGGTTCCGGCCCCAGCAGTTCCAGTGGGCCCAGCTCAGGTCCCATAGGGGTTCATTGCCACCCCAGTTCTTCAGGACGCTCTAGTCCGATTGGTGGGCCTCATGGAGAGTGTCACCCGAGCGGGTTTGCTTCAGTAGCACCAGCCACTTCTCAGGCTGGAGGAGGGGCTCAGACTCCCGCTAAGCGCACTCCAGAGCAGGTAGCTCCCCAGGTTCAGGTTCCAGTGGTTCAACCAGCTGTGGCAGTTCATCCAGGTGTAGTGGCTCAGACCGTCGATGGAGTGGCCATGTCCGCCGATGCTTTGTGGAGGCTGGATAGGTTCACCAAGCTCTTCAGTTCTACATTCAGCGGTGCATCTACTGAGGCTCCCCAGGATTATCTGGATAGTTGTCACGAGGTTCTTCGGAACATGGAGATCGTTGAGACCAATGGAGTTGATTTTGCTACCTTTCGACTGTCTGAATCCGCCAAGACTTGGTGGAGGGATTATTGCTTAGCTAGACCAGCCGGTTCGCCATCTTTGACTTGGGATCAGTTCACAGTGTAGTTTCTGGAGAAGTTTCTCCTCGTGACTCAGAGAGAGGCCTTCTGGAGGCAGTTTGAGCGCCTCCAGCAGAGTTCCATGACGGTCACCCAGTATGAGACCAGGTTCATTGATCTAGCTCGCCATGCTCTTGTCATACTTCCCACCGAGAGAGAGAGGGTGAGGAGGTTTATTGATGGTCTTATTCAGCCGATTCGTCTTCAGATGGCCAAGGAGGCCAGGAGTGAGATCACATTTCAGGAGGCGGCCAATGTGTTCTTCCGAGTTGAGATGGTTCTGTCGCAAGGAGGTGGTCATGGGTCGGATAAGAGGCCCCATCATTCGGGCAGATTCAGTGGTACCTCGTCTGGAGGTAGAGATTCATATGGTAGAGGCCATCCTCCTAGGCCCTTTCAGTCAGCTCTTCAGGTCTCCCATGGTACTTCAGGTAGTCGTGGTTCTCAGATGCACTATTCTGATCAGCAGCCTTACAGTGCACCATCGGCACCTATCAGTGCACTGTCACTTTAGAGTTTCCATGGTCGTCATCCCCAGCAGCCAAGAGCTTGTTTTACTTGTGGCGACACGAGGCCATTGCTAGGTATTGCCCTCGAGCTTTGAGCAGTTCTCCGCATCAGGGTTCTCGTGCTATGGTACAGGCACCAGATGTCCCACAACCTGCCTAGCCAGCTAGAGGCGGGGGTAGAGGTGGTAGAGGTGGAGGTAGAGGTCCTAGAGGCGGAGCTCAAGCCACCAGAGGTAGGGCTGTGCACGGATCGGATCAGATCGAATTTAGCATATTTCGGATTGAAATTTCGGATTTCGGATTCCACAAATTGCAATCTGAATCCGATCTGAATTATATCGGATTGGATCGAATTTTTAAAGTTTGGATTAGTTTGGTGATCGGATTTTCGGATCGAATTGTACGTATTATTAAGTACCTTTTCTTTTATTCTTTTTTGCATCCATATACACATTCCAGTTCATTTATATCGGATGAGGTAAGAAAATGACTATAAATTACAGTACCTCAAGATTTTACTTTTGACTTCATTCCAGTTAATAAATATGTTACTAATAGTATAACATTGTCGCGAAAGCAATCTGAGAATCCAATCACTGCCAGATCATTCGGGGTGATAACAAAAATTCTCCAACAAGAAAAAGAAAGAAATGGCATGTACATGACTGGATTATAAGATTAGATTAACTTATAAAATGCAAATCCAAAGACTATAGTGAGAAAGACAAACAAAGCATGTAATTTTTGAGAAAATTCAGTTGCATGTGGTAAGCACCAGTTCATCATAGGTGAATTTCAAAGAAATTCACAGGCGTCCATAAACAAAACACAATCTTCGTTCTTCATAACAAAACAAAATTAACTAAAATCCCAAATAGATGTCTAATCACTAATGAACTGAAATCCTCAACCAGAATTCCTTAATAGATTACACAAAAGAGTTCCAAGTTCCAACTTCTATGGCCATCACACTTAGTCCTGATTCCTGGCACGCTTTCAAGTTCTGCAACACTGCACTTGTCAAAAATGAGAGAATCAGTAAATGTGTATCATGTTAAGCTGGGCAGCCTATATGCAGCAGCCTATATGCAGCAGCCTATATGCAGCCTATACAAGTTGTTTTCAATGTTCATCAGAACATAGCCTAATGCAGCTGCTTGACTGCTTGGTGGCAGAACAAAACAATACAATAGAGAAGGCTTAATGCAGCAGCTTGGTTCAATTTATTAGAAGGCTTAAGCCTATAATAAAAGTAGGAACTGAAGTCCACAATTGTATCATACTCATTAAAACATTTAAAAGTCACGGTGAAGATTTAACAGTAGGAATTGTTACTAATCAAACATCTTAAGGAGATTACATGGAATAGATTTAATAGCAAGTCTATGCTTTCCATAACAAACCAACCAACCCCAATAATCCCCAAAAAAATTTTTTAACATGCCACGAACTCGTACCTTTTATATGTCGACGATGCAAGGCTCTCTTCCGGTATTAATCAAGTCTGTAGAATAAGATAGTAATAGAATAAATTAGTTTAAAAATAATCTAAATAAACATAACATAAGTATACATTAAACACAAGTAAAGTAATAGAAGAAATAAGATAGTCTTACCCGCTTCAAGTTGTTCAAGATTATCTAAATCTTCTTCAATTTTAACCGGAGTTGTTGATCCATTCCAAGCCAATCTTGGACACACACAAGAGCTTGAACCAATCTAGGAGTCAATGAACTCCTAAATGGATCAAGTATGCGTCCACCTGTACTAAAGGCTGATTCTGAGGCAACACTAGAAATAGGAATAGCTAGCACATCACGTGTCATCTCAACAAGAGTGGGAAATCTGGGTGAATTCAACTTCCACCACCCTAGAATGTTAAAAATTTCAAAGTCTTCCTCAACATCTTCACTCAAATATTTATCTAACTCTGTTTTAGAATCAATTCCTTCACCCTTCTTGTGCTTCTTTAAATCTAACATGAATTTTGAAAGCGATGATGAAGAAGTAGATGAAGTTGGAGAAACTGGACATGAACTAGGGGAAAATGGAGAAGAACCGGAATATGGAGAAGATGGAGATGAATCATTCTTCTTTGCATACACATTGAACAAAGATTCCATGTATGTCTTCACCTCAATTTGTATTTTCACACCTATTGTTTCTCCAAACATAGCAGCAAGAGCAAACAAAAGAGATTGAAACTTGTGGTGTGGATCGAACACACATGAAATAAAAATCATTTTGTTCATGTTTTGTGGATCCCCCCAATACTTATCAAACATCTCTTTCATATTCATTGCAATTTCTCTCAAGGTAGCATCTTCACTTTGCATCAACTCTTTCAAAGAAGAACCAACATCACATATCTCAAGAAAGTGCACATTAGACGTAATATAAAGTGTACCTGATAGATTCAAGGTGAGTTCATAAAATATTTCAAGAAACTTCACAATACATCTTACACTATCCCAATCAGTACTTAAAAGTGGACCTGCAGGTTGTCCATCCTCACAAATACAGTTAGAAATACATGACATCAAACCATAATCAATATCACAATATTTTGTAAAGGCTTCCTCATAAACTGTAGCAACCTTCAACATCAAATATGTGGAGTTCCACCTAGTAGGAACATCCAAGCACAAAGAATTTTTAGAAGTTATCCTATCGAGATCACAACATTCTTTAAACTTCTTCCATCTTGCGAGAGATTGTCTAATGTACCTAACAGCTTGTCTTATTCGTTCCACAGATACACTCCCTTCTCTCAACCCATCTTGAACAACTAGATTGATGATGTGAGCCATACATCTAACATGAACATGCTTACCTTCCATCAAGTTAGTGTTCCATCTAGTTAATTGTTTGGATAATTCTTTAACCATGACATCGTTAGAACTTGCATTATCAATTGTCACAGTAAATACTTTATCCACTCCCCATTCAAGTAAATATTTAGCAACACCACTAGCTAAATCTTGACCTTTGTGACTAGTAATTGGACAAAAAATTTCAATATCTTTTTATGCAAATTCCAATTCTTATCAATGTAATGTGTTGTAACACACATATAGTTAATTCTTTGAATTGATGTCCATGTATCAGTCGTAATACAAATTCTCTGTTTTGATTCTTTAAAAATTAACTTCAAAGCAAGTCTCTCATCATGGTAAATCTCAAGACAATCCCTAGTCATCGTAGTACAAGATGGAATATGAAATAAAGGTTGAAGAGTGCTCACAAAGTCTCTAAATCCATCCTTTTCAACAGAAATGAATGGTTGTTCATCTATAATTATCATATGAGCTAAAGCCCTCCTACATGCCTCTTGATCAAATTTCCAAGGGATAAGTGAGACATCACCTGTTTGACCTTTCGGTTGAAAAGCTAATTTTGTCTGGCTTGTCTCCGGCTTGTGGGGATTGTTCGGACACTTGAGAAGATGTGATAGCAAATTGCTTGTACCACTGTTTTTGGTGTTAGCTACATATTCTTCTGGACAGTACTT